AGCGATCCTTAATTGGAAGTAATTACTCTGGCTTGATTATTGTAAGAGTGTTGTATATAATGATACAATTGTATGTTATTTAGATTGGATAATTTACAGGGTTAATACTAATATATATATACATATTGGCGGGGAGGGTGGTGGTACTAGTCCAGTCTTTTGTGGCAGAATTTGATGTTTTTATGTTCGAATACTAATGATCATTCATGACTAATGTAGATGTTTTCACTAACCGGATTTTGATGAACGAGGACATGGTTGCTTAAATAGCTAGTCGTAAAAAAATTCATGTTAGTGAGGTTTAATTTGAGTTAGAGCAAATTTCAAGTGGATTATGATGAGTAAGTTTCAAATTCTTGTTTGAGATGTGATGGTGTACAAAGTAATAGTGCATAAATTTCATCAGTAAATTTTTTGTTTTGAGAAATCGAGTTGTTAAGTATGTTGATAATTGAATCTAAATATGAATAAGGGTGGCCGTTTGTGTTTCTATGGCTTGTTTTCTCACTCACTTGCTAGTTGCAAGTTGCTACAACAATCATATGAATTGCAAGAAAAGAACAAATAAGTCAATCAAAATCTGTTTGTTCTTATGTGATATGTTTGTTAGGATATTGTTGACCAGAAAAAAAGGATTGAAATAAATAATAATAAATACTAGTTTGTATGAAAACAATATTCATAACGGTTATGGAAAATACAGAGGATATTGTTATTATATTTACAACTTACAAAAGAAACAAAAATATGCATGTGTGCACACAAACTACAAAGGTTTTTCATTTTGTTTTTATGTTTAAAACCATACCAAAATTTTATTTTATTTCTAAAGGTGATCAAAAGCGTGCAGGTTGGCCGGAAAGTTCTGTGAGTCAGCAGCTCATTTCCCGGGAATAGTTATTAGAAAAACCCTCTGATATCTGACGTTATAATTCATGCATGTAGATGTATTTGAATTTCTTATGAATATTTTTATATGTCTTTTTCTTGTATATATGAAATATGACGAGATCAGAGTCATTTGTCTTGGTAATCTATCTTGGTTTTATAAAATCAGTAGTTTATACAGAATTACGAATTAATTTCAAATGTCAAATTGATTCATCTAAATTTTCTGATGGAAAACAAGTCAATTGGATTAAATTGTTACTTTACAAATTTCTAATCCAAATGAACCATAATCTCGTAGTTATTCAGGGTGAATGGTTAATGTTGAACACTCTTGGTCTTAGAGGTCTCACATTAGCTTACAAAGCTACAACATTAAGTTGTTATTGTCAGCTTAGTTAGAGTAATTAGGACCAGATCGAATGTAGATTCCTTCAATCATAGAATGCCTAGAGTTGAAATTTTAGAGAATTAAGATTTCAAATAGTATTAACATTTTAAATAAGACATTTTGAAACACTCTAATTTCATAAGAAAATATGCATATATATTATAACGTAACGTATCATGCACTCAAAATCTAATATTTAGTTCTTACCAAAAAAAATCTAATATTTAGTTACATAAGATAATCAAGTTCAACAAATCAATTATAGCTCTCGGAAAGAACTTTTTAACAGTGTTAGTAAAATTTAAAAAAGGGCTTAAAAAAAGGTGCAATATAACACAGAAACGTGGCTGACATACTGCAGGTTGAAAAAGCTAGCAAGGGAACGAGAAGAACAAAATTGAAAGCCAGACCCACTTTATCATATCACTGTCACTATAACTAGCTATATAATAAATGTTTTTATCATATTGCCTCCTACTCACTTTTTACGACAGTAAATATATGGTTTTCAGTGTACAACGTACAAGGATTCATGGGTACGTAAAAAAGACAATACTGTAGTTTATTAACCCCAAAGTCATTATTGATAAGCTCAATCGGGAGATCATGGAGATAACGAATCAGTGGCAGAGGCAGGATTTGAAACTACCCCTGTTCTCTTTTCGTATTATAAATATATAAATATTTAATGAATTTAAATTAATAATATCTACATAATTTATTTTCATATATAAAAATAACGACTAATACAATAGATATATTCATAAACAACCATGATGAGTTTTCATATTCTTAAAGAAACACAAAATACACTCTTAAGTAAGTCCTTTCCCATGGATTCCACTAAACAATCATTTAGCAAAATGGTTGTGAATTCGACTTCAGAGTTCGTTCTTGATATATCTCAAAGCTGGAAATATTTTATCTACACTTGTCGTCAAAACTAGTGGAATCGACGCTATCACTGAACTGCTTCAAGATTGCTGGGAAAATAATTGAATGGGCATATGAAGAAAAGAGATATATTCCAATTGAGATTTTGTTTATAGTATAATAAATTAATTTAATGTCAATTTATAATCAAGTAATGAATTGTGATATAGTGATAAAATACGTTGCACTAGGTGTCGTGTTCCATCCTTAACATAAACATATATGGAGTATTTTTGTTCCTCCCAGAATTTACCCCTGTCCTGGGACAATGCCAAACTAGGCTGGCTCCGCCTATGAACAGGATGGGTGTTGTTCTTGAAGAAATTGCTAATTGTCTCCATGTCCAGCCTGGGTTTAGCATTCGGTTTGTAGGTCGACGTAGTAATAGGGTAGCCCATTTGGTGGCTAGAAAAGCCCTTTCTTTGTACCCGGCCATGAGTCGTTCTTTTGATTTTCAGACCTGAATGTCTTCCAGGGTGTAACTGCCTATTATTTGAATCAATATAAGATTATCTTTTGTCAAAAAAAAACTCTATCATGCCAGCCATGCCTAGCTAGAGTAATACTGTAGTTTATTGCACTTACTCATCCAACATGACCCAATCAACCCCAATATGTAATGGTTATTAACAATAGTTTGCATTCCAATATCTAATAAATGGATATTACACAACACAATAACCAATAACAGTAGTCAAAAGTATTATTTACTCTCCATATTAAGAAGTATATGGTCAAACCGTAGTGCAGTTTGGAAATATGATGAATATTCGATACTATAAGAAACAACATTTTTTCATGTGAAAATAGGAAGCGGGTCATTCGGGTGACCCGCAATCCACCCACCACCCACCCACATAAGTGTGGGTGGGAGATTTACCAAAACGACCTGCCCTGACCCGCCCCATTCTCGACCCGTTCTTGCCTAAATTACATGTAATTTTAGTCAAATTACTTAGAATTTTTCTTTTATTACATCATAATTTAACTATAATAAAGTTATAAATTAGTAAAAATCTCAATTTCTCTAATAATTTAACTACATTTATCAAAATATTGTTTGCTTTCTTTATCTTATAATAAAAATAATGAATATTTCTAATATTTTTTTATATAAATTGCATACCCATTGGGACGACCTGCCCCGACCTGCGACGCGTGATAAATTACCCAACTTGAACCCGACCTGCTATGGGGCGGGTCTGGGTACCAAGAAACCCGGCCCGGACCTGCCCCATTGACATTCCTAGCGGAGAGGCTCTGATACCACTTGTAACATCCCGAACCTTTTCCCGACAAGATACTGTTCGTTTTGGGCCTCTATACCCGCACAGATTTCGACTTGGGGTGCAATTCAGGGTGCTTCCCATAAGGTCACCCATCCTTTTTGTACTCCACACGGAGCACGTTTAACTTCGGAGTTCTCACAAGAACTCCTCCATTACACCCCAAAACGCATCTTGTCAGTTAAGGTCGGTTTCTTACTTATGAACCATGAATCTCTCCCGTGCTTTGTCGATGTGGGATTTGCCTAAGTTGTTACATAAATCAACAGATGATGATAAAAAATAATTTACTTTAGGACAACTTTTACAGTTGGGAGTGAATTCGAATTAATATGTATTTATAAACTAATTTTGATTATAGCTAGTACAGAGGAGGATCCAGAACAAAGTAGAGCACTAGGCCGAATCTCATTAGAAAATTAGATACCGAAAAAAAATTAATGATTATAATAATTTTCTTTACAATGTCAACTTCCAAACTTCCAAACGACCCTTTAGTGAATGCATCAATAATGGAGTCTACATCCATACCTATAGTATACTCTGTTTCAAATAATATACTTAAGCAATCGGCGAGAAATTTATCGCTAATTTTATTTTGTTGTGCAAATCAGTTTTCACATGTTTCATTGTTGAAAAGATTATCTCCGTAGTAGCTGTTGAAATGGGTAGCATCAACATTAGACAAATCAATCAACTAATCAATTTAAATTGTGTGTCCATCCATATATCCACCAACTGCTCTAGTAAATTTTTAAGGGAAGAAACCTCATATTTCTTTTAGTCTTTTACGCTTTAGAATTTTAGTCTTTATTATAGTTAGAACCAAATTTACCATGCATCATTGTTATTATTTGCTAAAAGTGTATAGATTCATTGATTTTGAGGAATGAGGAGTACACTCAAATATCAAATAACTAGTTTTTTACTCTTACTTTATACATTTCTATCTTTTTTTTATCTTTCTTTTACTAGTGGACGATCTTTCATGTATCATCCATTACATTTACATACATGGCTAAATGCCACATTTAGTCACTGGAATTATTAAATCGTGTTATGTTTAGTTATTAGAAAAAAATTAATATCAATTTTGGTCACTCGAATTATTAAAACAGGTCACATTTAGTCACTCTAGTGTCTCCCGTTAGCCTCCGTCCAACTCCGGTCACTCGAATTACTTTTTTTTTATGAAACTAACGGAAGAGTGACTAAATGTGACATGTTTCAATAATTCGAGTGACTAAAATTGATATTAATTTTTTCTAGTGACTAAACATGACATAATTTAGTAATCTCAGTGACCAAATGTGGCATTTTCCTTTACATACATAAATATAAATATGATGGTAGTCTTTATACTTTCAATTATTGGCACAACTGTTCATCTATCATGCTCTTTATTTATTTTCAGTTTTTCAATAAAGAACTTCATCCAAATTAGTTATAATTACGACGAATTCATATTTGGTAAACATGTTTTGGACGAGTCACTTGTCAAATATGTACAAGGATGGAATTCTTCGTTGAAAAGACTGAAATGAGAAGGCAAAGGATGGAATCCAGAATTGTTAGTTAAGAGTACTAGTACCAAACCAGGTTGAGCCCTTGGTGTCCCCTGCTTCAGTGAAGTTTATAGAGCAAAAGAAAGAGAACCACTAAAAAGAAACGAGAAAACACTAACATACATACACACACACAAAGAGGAGCTCTCTCTACAAGCTTACCTATACTTTCCCAACCCTGATATACAACCTGATTCCTACGGATCAATCGCCATGGGAGTAATACGTTTCCTCGCCGGCTTATTACCTGCATTGAGATTCGAAGGAGCTGCAGCTGGAACTGGCGATAGTATAACTTTCTCTTCTCCAGTCTTCTCTACTGCAGCTTCTGCTGCTGTGCAGCCAGTAACGGCAGCAGGTGGTGCTTCTTCACTGTCGAGAACAGTTACTTCCAGTTTCTTGCTATCTGGGCTATTACTAGTCTCCGGAGACATGCTTTGCTTTGCTCCTACTGCAAATGTAGTCAAGAAGCTGAATTGGAAGGATGCTCTCGTAGAACTAAAGGTTCAGGGGGATAACAATATGGGTATATACCGATTTGGTCACTGAAACTTGCCTATGTATCTATCTCATTAGGCACTGAACGCAATCAAAGCACCAAATCCGTCCTGATAAATCAACTTAACATTTTCGTTTACTCGTGGTACCTCCATCAGTTTTTATCAATATGTAGCTGATGTGAGAACCTTTAATTGGCTATTTAGAAGGTCTCCACACCATATCAGCATCATAAGGGCATATGCTAATGGTCATTTATTAAGACAGAGTTTGATAATTGAGTTATTTCAATAAAGAGTCTAGTGCCCACTGCCCAATTTGTAACATATAAGCGAATTCAGTGATCATCTCAATACTTTCTTTATCAGTTGACGGATTTGATATTTAGCCTGAAAACACAACGAGATCATAGATTGATCAAGGAAGTGGAAGGAAAAGTAACCTTGGGAAGCAATGGGTGAGCCAAGTTCGTCGTTTTCGAATTCAACCAAGGTGCAGTAGCCATCTTGGGAGGAGAGCGCAAGAATCTGGCCATTAGAGGACCAAGCGATGTCGGTTATGGCTGCATAGTGAAGACCAGCAAGGACTGTGATCAGGGGAGCACTTTCAGTATCGTATATGTATAGTGAATTCAGAGTTGCCACCGCAAAGATCAGGCGATAAGGAAGCTTGAAAAGCCCAGCTGCATAGTTCAAGATGGAAAGGGAGCTTGGTCATTTATCTATTTATGTACTCTGAGGGAACAACAAAAGCAGAGGATAGTATTATACCTGAATTGGACCCCCTGAGAGCAAACTGCAAGGGACAGAATCGCACAGCTATGATAGGTTTAGAAGCACCAGGCAGTAGTAATGCAGGTCTGCATTATAGCAGAATAGGAAAATTAGTCAGTAGAAATCAGCAGGGTTAACAAAATCCTAAATGGTGAGGCTATTAACAAAATGACCACAAGATTAGTAATTGTCAGAAAATCCTAAGCAAACCATGGAACTTTGTATCACAAATGTCACTAAGTATCGCTCCACCTAATTTGTCATTAACATGCCAAATAGGCTTTCCCAAAATTGAACAATAAGCACACTGCCCACCCACCAACCCAACAATTTCCAAGAGACTGACTTTTGGAACTTTGGGTTGTGCTTTTGCTTGAGTTGGGAGTTGATTTTGTGAGTTGGGGTTGAGATTGAAAGGGTTGGGTTTTGATGACATAACTCCACCAAAATAAAGGAAGATTAGGCTAAGCAACTGTTTTGTTACAAATCATAAGTTCAGTTTGTTGAAGACCTTGCAGTTCAGCGACATTTAAGCATTTAACTCATATGAGCTGATAAGTAATTTAATTTTCAATGGAAACCATGGATGAAGCCAAATGTGGCTTGGTGAGAATATGCCAAGTGTTTCTAAGTAAAATATCTTGCCTGGAAAGATCTTTTCTGGAAAATACATAAGCTGTGTTCACTGTTTCTGATGAAGGAGAAATTTTGTACGAACCTGAAAGAGAAATATATAGTTCATGTCAGATACAGCCAACCATTGGGAGCAGGGAAAGGAAGAAGAAGAGGGAGAGTGATGCGCTTATACAGTCATACCTGCAGGCACAACTAGAAACGAACCATCAGGAGACCAGGCTAATCTTCGGAAGAAGGAAGGCAATGTTTCGTCAAGAAAGAGATGGGTTTTTGTAGACTGGTTAATAGATAAATATGAGAATAAAAACATTTAAGAGTGTAACATGTTCATAATTGAGAAGAAAGGAGAAGGCTATTATCTTTACCTTCGAGTTATCCTTTGCCTGCTGCTGCTGCTCGGCTTTTGTTATGACATGTTGGCAAACATAACTTTTTTCAGGAACTCCTTTTACCTTTGTCTTTGTTTTATTGGCATAAACTCTGCACGTTCTATCAGAACTAAGAGATGCAACGTACTTCCCCAAAGGATCCCAAGCGACGCCTTGGACATAATGTTGATGAGCATCCAACATCTGATGCACAGAACCTTAAGAAAAGGGGAATTTTCATCAGAACATGAACTATGAAAGAACCAAAACAGTCAGAAGGGGAACAAAGTTCCTTTTTCAAGCTCTCACCTTTGTTGATGTCCCATATGATACATGAATTATCAACTGAACCAGAAATCAGAAATGCAGAGTCAACAGACCACTCCATATCCAGTACATCTTTCCGGTGAAACCTAGCCCAATATAAGAAAATAGAAATTAATAGGGAATGCAGAGAGTTCATGGAATTGAACTCAACTCTACAAATAGCTAAATGAAAAGACATTCAAAGCAAGAGAGACCAGTGACAGCACAACATCTTGCTTGTTTTCACCTGAAAGGTATATCATGAAATGGACCTTTTTACAAACGAAAGCTAACAAGCAGTTATTGAAATATTTTATGAGCATGACTTCTTTGTGGGACAAGTTATGCAAACCACGGTTCAAAATCAGAGAAAGGTCAATACTTTTTCATCAAACTAATTCACAACCACATGAAAACATTTGTCTTTAAAAGACCACATCCAGATCTACTAGAGGACTTCATATGCCTGGCAGCTACTGAAATGAGAAACTATTATATCCCATTTTATTTCAGTCTTTGTGCTGATTAGGGTGTTCTTTACACAGATGAGAGGGGACATTACTCTGAATCTGAATAAAAGGATTCTTTCAACCCATCGCATTTGGAACGAACTGAAAAATTCATCAGTTGAAGGCACTCCCTGAACTTGCTTACCATCAGTGAGAGTCAAATAAACAAATTGCCTAGTTAAGCCTATGACGAAGATCTGATTTTTAAAGAATTCTCTGAGGATTGCTTATCTTAAGGATTAGGCGTTCATACTGAAGCTAAAAACAAACTGACGTCTTAACCACCACATCCATAGCCCTTACAGGTCATAGTAAAAACATTTTTCTAGGTTCCCGAAGATAGGGCAAACTCACGATAGATTCTTGAGAACCTTCCACACTTTCCCAGACTCCGTTGCATGTAATTTCCACAAGAGAAGCTCACCTCCTACACAGAGCAACTCAAAGTCAGAAATCATTCCTTTACCGAACTTCATCACAGAAATCCTAAATCCACCCCATTTCGTACTCAATTCAAAACATAAGCTCTGACTGAAGACATACCATCAGCACCAGAAGCAAGCAGTTCACCTGAAACAACAGAAAGCAAAAATAGTATGAACGGGTTTCTTAATCAATCAAACTTACAGCTTTTGAGTAGCACGAAATTCAGAACGCTATATCAGTAATGCAGAATTGTCTGGCTTGGATAAGTAAGACAGAAAGAAAATCTGAAGCTTTTCAATCTCTGCATCAATGCTAAATTCTGAATCTATGGCACTCTTCTCAGAATTAGTCAAAATTCAGCCTCCTCTGAAGTTACCGTTTCCCTAACTTAAGAGCTTCGATTCGTAGCCTAGACTGACAATCATACTGATTTTCAACTTCTACACTAGTTCGGAAACGTACCACATGGAGAGAAGCGAAGGACATTGACGGCCGAGCCATGATACGTAAGGCTATTCTGGTAAGTGGCTACTGGAGTTTTCTTCGGCGGTTCGCCCGAACTTATCAACCAGAGCTAAAAATGAAGCACCCACTCAATTAACTAACCGGAGGAAGCCAATTGGATCAAGAGGAGAATGCCCGGTGAAGAAAGTACCTTGATGTCGTAATCGGCGCCGCCGGTGGCGAGGAGACCCGAGATCGGGTGAAAGTCGAGTGAGAGGACGGGTTTCATGTCGTGCCAGTTGATCTGAACTGTCCCGCCCTTCATTTCTTCCTTCTCTTCTGGTTTTGCCTCTTGCTGTTCGCTAATTCAACTTCAGTTTCTCTCCGATCTGTGCTTTTGCCCGGGAGAATACAGGAATTTTTTTTGGTGGGAGTGGGAATTTTTGTTAGGGTTTACCGGGAGAAGGTATCGGGTGTGGGCGATCGGGCTTTGGATTGGAGATGGCGGGAAAATTAAGTAAATGGATGGAGGGAATAGGAGACGACGTGGCATTTAAATGCTGCCGCGTGGTGTTTGGTCTCTTTATGAGCCCATCCACACGGGCCTGGCCCAATATATGCAAGTTTTTTTTTTTGGTGAAACAATATATGCAAGTTTGATACAAAAAAAAAAAAAATACTAAATGTAGAAATTTATCAAAATCGCTTTTGTTTATGGAAAAATTAATCAAAATCTCTAAATTTAAACTAGAATGGTATACCAAATATTTTTCACTTGTCAGTAAAAAAAACTCACTTGAATAATTAGAATTGTACATTCTAGTACAATACTCGTGCAAATCTCTCTGTATTTCACACAAATTTATAAACTATTTTTCCAAGCAATCTTATCAACTAATAAACAATTTTTTCACACAATCTTAAAAATTTAATCAATCAGTCAAATAATCGCATCAACCATTCTGTATTACACGATCAATAAAAAAATATCAGTTTATGTAAATGACTTTCTCCAATCATTTTAGCTACAAAAACCGTTTGTACCAAAATACTCTTCTCACAACTTGTCTTTTTTTTTTTTTTTTTTGGTAAATTCGCACAACTTGTCAATAGAGGCTTTTTCCTTAACCATCAAACCTTCTATTACTTGCTTTTTAAATTAGATGTCTGGTCCGATTCAAAGCACAAAGTACTGAAATATAATACTAATCGATAATAATACTCAACCGATAATTCAAGTAATTAATAAGGCCAAAAAATAAATCTCCATATATATTTATACTATATATAGGGCTGTATGTGTATGATCGTACATGAAAAATGACGACAACAACAATAATAATACTAATTACATGCGTAATCATAAATAAAAATGGCCGTCCAAAAAAATAAACCAAGTGACATGACAGTATACCAATCCAATACACAAAACCAAAAATTCAGAGCCACAAAGAAGACTTTAGTTCAACTTTTGGTACGTGAAAAACCAGGACTAAATGCCATGTTTGGTCAGTAGGATTACTAAATCGTATTATGTTTAGTCACTAAAAAAAATTACCACATTATACATATGATATTGTGTGGTAACGAAATATATTTTTATGGATATCATGTTTTACCATGTAATACCACGTGGTATTGATGGTATTTAGCTTTGGAATTTTATTTTTAGCACATTATACCATATGGTATGGTATGATATGGTAATTAGATTTTTAATTTTCAGTAGCATGTTTTACAAGGTAATACCATGTGGTATTGTATGGTAATTTTATTTTTAGCAAGTGATAATTATATTCATATTTGTAATTGCTATCCATAGCACTGAATTATTTAACGAAAAAATCATTATTCAATTTTTTGAGTTGGAATTAGAGCAAAGATAGTTGGGATGGTTAGAGTCATTTTTGTTGTAGAGATAGAGTTAGAGTGTAGACAACAGATGTATTTTTTCCCCTCTTTTAGTGGTAGATGGGAGAGAGAAGAAATAATATAATTTTTCTTCTAATAATAAAACAGAGATTGAGGGAGAGAGGAACACACATGGGACGGAGAGTGGGGTCCGCGTCTGGTCAATAGTCAGCGTCAGCATTAAATGGAGGCGTGGACAATTTACCCTATTGCCCTTCCATATTTAAATTAAATAAGAAGAAAAGACTGACACGTGAGGGCCAGGGGAAGGGGTTACGGATGGTTACTGATAGGAGAGTTACTGATGGGATCCGGTCCCCTCACAAACCTCATAAAATTCAACTCCTGGTTTAAGCAAATGATTTAACGGCAAAGAGGATGTGCAAACTTCAAACCATTAGTTGGCTTAAGACGGTGGTGACAACTTTTCAATCTAATCCAATCCATCCACTAAAATATCCAATTAATCCGATCTATTTGATTCAAATCAAATTGGATTGGTGGATTCATGGATTGTTGATAAATTATAATTCAGTACTCGTACTTTTTATACTTTACAATTTGGTACCTAAAATTTATTTAACATAAAATATCATTGAAAAGTGATGTATTGGTACTTAAAGTTCATATTATGACATTTTAGATTCTAAACTTTTTGAAAATTACATATTAATCCAATGTTTAGATGCCACTTGGATCCATGATCCAATCCACCAATCCATATGATCAATGAATCTACAAATGCCATATATCTACTTAACACCCTCCATTATCCGACTTGTTTTGGACGCATTGTCATTTATAATACCATGGCATCGACAATTACAATTTCCATTTGAGAGATACCGCCATATATATAGAAAGAAATCATTACTAGTAAGTAGTGATAGCTAATGCTTGTTAATTAGCATATTGGCTAGATTATTAGTGTTGATTGTAACAACGCTCTGATGTGCGCTCTTGTACTTCCACTTGTGGGATAATCTTCTTTTCATGATCCTTGATCTCATTCTCCTCTTTGAATTTTGCCTGATGCTAGCTAATGCTTGTTAATTAGCATATTGGCTAGATTATTAGTGTTGATTGTAACAACTTGTTTAAGCTCTGATGTGCACTCTTGTACTTCCACTTGTGGGATAATCTTCTTTTCATGATCCTTGATCTCATTCTCCTCTTTGAATTTTGCCCATAAAACACTATAGAGCCCTCCAATCAATAGCACTCCACCCAAAACACTACAATTGCAGCCAACAAACAAACCTAGATTAACTTAAAGAACCATAATTAATAAACTATGATTAACAAAAGTATTACATAGCTATAAGTACCTTCCAAGGTTGATGAAGTCGCACAATAAGGCAGAACATATCGCTGTGAAGATGAAAGCCAACGGGGTAGACATGGCCAAAAACACTGGACCTTTCTTCTCTAGAACCCATGCTTGGAAGTAATATGTTACCCCACTCACCATAACTCCCTATATACACATACATAGCAAATTAATTAATCACAAACTAATCTTGAAACTAAGCCATAAAACCATGATGTGACAATAGGTTATATAAAAAATATTGTAAAACTACATGCAGACGACTAATAGCAGGTTAGTTAGATCGATTACGTACACAATAAACAACGGAGAGAAGTTTCACATCCCATCCAAGTTTCCACTCATTAAGATCTCCTTCAATCGTAATTGCGGCTACAAATGACTGGACTGTGGCCAAAGCACATTGGAGAGTTGTGAACAAAAGCTTTGGTGGATAACTCTTCTGAAGACTTGTCTATACCAAAAGAAAGTAAGTAAGTTAGGTCTCAGTTGAGAATGGTACAACGGGTATGTGCAGACTTTATATTCGATACGGTTTGTAGTTTTGGTACCTGAAAGACAAGCCAATAGCCCCAAGCGAAGCTAGATGAGAGCGTCAAGAAATTTCCTTTGATCCATGATGTATGAGATTTATGGTAACCGCTATGCCAGAAGGAGTTTCTGAAGAGGCAGAACACCTTGAAATGGGGGCCTTCGTAGAAGGCAAGAGCTGCCACCCCACCCATGCATATTACTATCCCTAGTAATTTTGCTTTGCCTGTTGTGGTCCCAAACCTTAATGTTTCCACTCTGCATCATCCATACATAGATCACTTCAAAAATACATACAATTGTAGTACACATAATGCAACCCGACTATAGAGCTCACAACTCATGTGTGAGAATGTGCTCACAGGTGGGAAGGGTCATCAGCTCGCGCGGGAATACCTTGTGATCGTTGGATGGACGCAAAATACCACAATGTCTATCCAATGATCACGAAGCTTCCATGCGCGATATGAGTGCTCCACGTGTTAGCAATCACATTCTCACATATGGGTTGTGTACCATTTTAGCAATATGCATGGCATTAAGTACCGAAGCAGGAGGGCCAAGAAGAAAGTAGTGACGGGGAGGGAGTTGAGCGAAGCCGCTGCCAAGGTGGAAGAGGTGTAAAGCAACCCAAAGCCATTAAGGTTCAATGCCAACGTTATCCTGCAAAATATATTAAAGATCATAGTTCTTTATCGATTTTGATAATATCTAATGTAAACGCTTTATAGTTTGCTTGACAATACGAGTAACGTTTTAATCAAATACTACATAGAGTTTTAAATCGAGTTGTGAATCATGTGTTCATAACTTTTCATGGTATGATGGGTATATGAAAACTTCGAGTTTTTGGATTGATTTTCGTTTGACATTCTTACAAACAACTTTGTTTATTTGGTACCATGCGAGAAAGTTGATCATACAGAAATTAAGCTGACTGATGAAATTACCCGACGAGGGCAAGCACGAAAATCTTGCAGAAGGTAAGCAGCGACAACGACGGAGCATGCTTCCTGTAATTCATCATGGCCGTGTATAAATAAGACATATAAAGTTATAGTAAAATATAAAAAATGATATAAGATACATGCAAGGTTTGAGTTTTCTTTCTTCCAATGATTCAAATTATCGAAATTAGTTGGTTCCTGCCACACAGTATATATAAGAGCATCTCCATTGGTGCAATGGCATTTGCAATTGCATTTATTTTTTTTATTGTTATTTCATTTTTTTGCAATCCAACTCATCTTACTTGCATTGCACCACATCAATGCAATTAACTTGCAATTGCAACTAATTTTTTTATTTAATTTATTAAAATATAAACACTCAAATAATAAAATTAATGAGTAATTTAATAATAAAAAAGATGATGTGGCTTGCATTCCATAATTGCATTATATGCAAGCTTGCAAAGATGCAATTGTCATCTACATCAATGCAATTGCATAATGCAATTGCAAATGAATGTCATGTCATAATGCATTTCTAATTGCAATTCCAATGGAGATGCTCTAAGAGACATTGAATGCGAGATCATGTTCGCCTAGTATACCTGGTGACATCCATTATCAGTACATTTGAATGTCAACACATGGTATAGATATGGAGAACTTGTAAGTTTGATTTTGTTTGAGAAAAGATATGCAAGAGATTGCCATAAAATTAATTAGTAAGTTATTGAAAACAACTTAAGTCATTGACATGAATCTATTCTCGTCGAGTAAATTGAAAGAAGATGACTACAAAGTAATGACAAAAGTGAGGGGAAAGGAAGAGCTCCACGAATACATAAATAGACGTGGACGTGGAGTACGTGTCATCTATATGCATGCATGGTAGCCCTAACTAACACGCACCATTCAAGGAAGAAGGCGAGAGGAGCAAGGCAGAGGGTGGCGAAGGCTTGCCGGTAGAAGACGAAGACCGCCGGGTTCAAGCCGCCGTCGAACGCCGCCTTTTGTACCAAGAACATTCCGGCGTAGATCAGTCGGGTTAATACCACGGCTCCATACGCCTTCTTGTTATCGTTGACGTTGCACCACGCCCAAAACGACGCCGCGGCCGTCTTCAAAGCTCCTCCCTTTCCTTCTTCTCCAACCATATCCACCTCCATATACGGCTGTGATGGACGTACGACGTCGTTCTCTGTATCTTCTGAGTCTTCTCTCACTGTCTCCCTCTCGATCAATCCATTTATAGTAATAGTTTCCATGTGTTAAATATGTTTGAATGTGCCGGCTGTGATATTCTTGTCGTCGATCGATACGTTTTGAGCCCACGAGTGGTTGAAGGTTCCGTCCATTTGATGATCGAGCGATGATCGGAGAGGTGGGCTTTTATCCTTTTGTTGTCATCTTGCTCTTAACCATTTCGCGCCTTCTCATCTTTCTTTCTGTCGGCATTATACCCATTCGAAGTTTTATTCCGCCGATCATAAAACAACAATAATTGTTGAGTCCAAATCCTCAATTCCGAAATCGTTGGCTAAATTTGTAATGAAGTGGTTAAGTATAATGTATGAGCATTTATAAGATTCAGTATAATCTTTTTTTAACAACTCGAGTTATTGGGACCAATTGGTTTATAACATGGTATCAGAGCTGGTTTGTTCTTGAGGTCACGTTTTCAATTTTTCACGACCTCCAATATTAACCTTTGTCTTTCAAACACATGGTATGGCGGGCATGTGCAAACTTCAAGCCTATGAGTCAGCTTTCGTTCGAGGGGACGTGTAAGAAAGTGGTTAAGTGCCATACATGGGCCTAAGATCCAACGGGTAAATGCCACATTTTGTCACTAGAATTACTAAATCGTGTTATATTTAGTAAATCGTCAATTGCTTCTCTCAACAGTAATGTGTTGGAAGCAGCTGGTGCCTGGTGGTAACAAAGAGGGATACTTTTGGAAGCAACAATAGCGTAATTCGTTTAGGCGTTTCGTAAGTTAGTTTAGACGCTAAAAGTAAAAAATATCAATTTATTCGACATAATAAATGAAATAATAATTTGCAACAATTTTCCTCTTCGCTTTTAATGATTAATAACTTAACAACAAGAAAATTACTAGTTCACAAATTCATAGAATCATAATTCATTAACTTACAAAGTTCTAGAGCTACCGAAAAAAATGTATATAAAAGATTGAGTTTGCAGGTGTCGTTACTTCCCCCATTTGACTTTGCATGCTTATTTTCATCTTATTATCCTTTGTCGACGTGTTTTCGGTACCTAAATCGCCACGGAACACTCAGCGTGAGGCGTTTTGGTACGTGTTGCCTAACGCATAGGCATGTTTAAGTGTGAGTTTAAGAGCGCATTTTCCAAACCATGATTGTGCTATAAACCAATCGATCCCAATAACTTAACTAATTGGGAGTTGCCCATGTATGAATATTAATCACTTCCTCACACGCAGTCTCTCCAAAGAAAACCAACTCATGAACTTGAAGTTCGCACATAGACCCACCATACAAATGTGTTTCAATCAAGTATTAATATTCAAGATCGTGAGAATCTGAACACGAGACATAGAGATCAAACCGACTCCAATATCATATCATTACTCTCATACCATTATAGACATTGAGTGAAGTGGCACCTAACAGCACATCAATGTCACCCAAATAAACTCGGAGGAAAGGAATTCGATCAAACTCTGGGGTCGTTTGAAGAACATGATTCACGGCGTAGATTTGTTGAATCCGTAGATTTTGTAGAGAGTCGTGTTTTTTTGTTGTTTTTTGTAATATGGATTTTTAGCTTTAGGGATTTCAAATCTCTAAAATCTATGGATATCAAATCTCTCATAATCAGAGAGATTCTATATCTTGATTCGTGAGATTTTTTTCTCCTACTTTTTCTCTTTCTTTTATTTATTTATCAAATTAAATATATTTATGAACAAATTTTTTAATATTTCTCGAACCAATCTAATTTCTTATTAAGGATAAACATGTTATTTAATATAAAATTGAAAATTTTATTTTCTTTGAATGTTAACAATCACAGTTACCATACGATAAACATTTTAAAATCTATTTTCACCAATCCGAGGAGTTAGAATCTTTAAATTGTTGACAATCTATAGATTTAAACTCATATTCTCAAAACGACCCTCTTTGATAACCAATTAACCATAGCAGCCACAAGTAGATAGCAACGAACTATAGGAATCTTAACAATGAAAGCAAAAGTTTCATCATATTCGATGTTTTGCTCCGGCCTAAATCCATGGGCGACCATCTGCGCCTTCTATGAATCCAATCCAAGGTTTCATCATGCTTACATAGCCCAACTTATATGAGTGCGGAGAAAAGGACGAAGGTGTTTTTCTGGGCATACGCTTTCTGGTTTGATTCCTTATGTGTGGTAACAAACTTTTGCTGAAGTGAAACCCTAGGGCTTAGATTTTTCTCATTGATCTGTTTGCAATATATATGTGAAGTTTGGCTACTACAAGACAACCTTCGCCAGCTTGCTTCATATGTTTTGTTTTCTTTACTTGAAAAAGAAACTTAATAAACTTGATGTGGAAAAGCAAACAAATGCTTGAAATATAAGAGAAATGACACCATTGCACATAAATGGTGCTTATTAACTTAGAGCTCCTTCCTCTTCCTTCATGCGTCGCCTTCGCCTTGATTGTTTGGAACTGATTTGAATTTTAATTGGGTCTGATACACCCAGCAAGCTGGTGGGCATAGATTATGCACACCCAGCTTGGAGAAAAGGTAGCGGAATGGAGTTGGAGGTAGTGGCTTGGTGAAGAGATTCGCCAGCTGATGGGAAGAAGAGACATGGAGCAGCCTGATGATCTTTGATGGGAGCTTTCCACGAAGAAGATGGCAGTTAAGTTCGATGTGCTTCGTGCGCTCATGGAAGGTAGGATTCTCTACAATGTTAATAGCACTTTGATTGTCACAATAGAGTGTAGTTGGCTGGGGGTGAAGTACCATGAAATCACTAACTAATCTTAGATATTTGAAGAATTTAATTTAGTAACTACGACAATATGGAAAAAATAATAATTTTGACATGGTATCAGAGTTGGTCTGTTATTGAGGTCACGTGTTCAAACCCTCACAAACCCCTAAAATTGAACTGTTGGTTTAAGCACATGATGTAACGGCAACGAGGATGTGCAAACTTCAAACAATGAGTTTGCTTAAGACTACGGTGGCAATTTTCAATACAATCCAACGAAAAAGGTCTTGGTCTAGTTGTAAATGGTAATACTACTTGCTTTGAACTTGGAGGTCTCAGGTTCGAATCCCTTAAGTAGTACATAATAACAAAAAAGTAACATATATCACCCTTATCTAAAAAAATAATAATTTCAATTCAATATACCAATCCAATTCATCCACTAAAACATCTAATTAATCAATCTATTTGATCCAAATCAAATTGGATTGGTGGATTATGGATTGTTGGCAAATTACAATTCAGTATCTATATATACTTTTAAACTTTACAATTTGGTAGCTAAATTTACGTAAAATATCATTGAAAAATGATGTTTTGGTACGTAAAGTTTTATGGTGACATTTTAGATTCTAAACTTTTTGAAATTTACATATTACTCCAATGTTCATATGTCACTTGGTTCCATAATCCAATCCACCAATCCATTTTTCATAAAGACCCCCGATTATTTGACTTGTTATTTATGAAAAACTTAATCAAATTCACGAACTTTAAACGATAATGGTACATCAATTATTTGTCACATGAATAAGTTTTACATTCTACTACAAAATATTCATGGTGTACCTTGAATTGCTTGCTTTTAAAATTAGATGTCTGGTCCGATTCAAACACTACTGAAATATGATACTAACTGATAATGATATTCAATCGATAATTCAAATTAATAAGGCCAAAAATAAATCTCCATGTATATTCATAATATGTAGGGCCTGTAGTATGTGTATGATCGTACATGAAAAGTGACGACAATAATAATAATACTAATTACATACGCAATCATAAAAATCATAAATAAAAATGGCCGTCCAAAAAAAAAAAAAAAAAACCAAAAGTGATCTCGACTGTATACCAAAATCCAATACACACAAAACCAAAAATTCAGAGCCTCAACCTGAACTTACAGCTGCTGTTTCTAATCCTGATCCTGTTATTGGCGGCCAAGCTATCCACATTCAGCCGGCACCGCACCACGAACCTCACCTTCATCAGCTTCAGCTTCCCAACCTTGATCCTCACCGGCTGCCTCACCCTCAAATCCAGCGGAACAAACCCATTCGCTTGCTGCTCCCTCTGCATCTCCCCAAACAGCGCCGCCGCGTCCCTGCTCTCCCCGGCGAGCGGCACGTTCAGCACCGTCGTGTTGCGGTGTCCCTGGTAGAACTTGGGCAGAGACCCCTGGCAGAGCTGGGTCCCGGAGAAGAACACACCGATCCTGCTCCCTCCCTCGTAGTATATCCCGATCCTCTTGTTCGGGTTCCGTGCAGTGATCGTCACGTCGAACGCGGCGGCCAGGCTGGCGGCCGCGGTGGCGGTGTCGTTGCGGAGGGTGAGCTGCGTGATCTCGAGGCGGTCGATGGAGTAGTCGGGGAGCTTGGGGCGGAAGACTAGGTAGAGGATCCCGGCCGTGGCGGCTACGGCGATGATGAGGACGAGGAGGATGGAGAGCGTCCAGCAGAGGCACCGGCAGAAGGTGCAGCCGCGGCGTGGTCTGGTTGACTTTGGTGGCTTGGAGCGTCTGTTGAAGGGAAGAGGATAGGATGGTAGCGGTGGTGGTGCAGAGGCGGCGGCTGGGTCGCCGTGGTCGGACTTGGAGGAGCCACGGGGGACGAGTGGCGCGGTCGGGACGGCAGCCTCTATGTCTTCTTGGTTGGTCACCGGGTGAATCTTCTTGTTTTGGTCCGTCATTGTGGTGGTGGTGTGTTCAGTTTGATTTTCTTGGGTGGTGATATATAGGGAAGGTGATGTTATGGTTACCGAAAGTCTTCTACATACGTTATATAGATATAAGTGCTATATGGTCAGGTTTGTTGGTGACGACTTTGAAACAGAGGCGTGGGTTTGATTCGGTCAAGGAGAGGAAATAAATAACACGGTGTTGGAGGGTTTGCCTTCTTTGACTATTGGGCATGGAGGAAAGGAGGAGAAAGAGTGTTTTTACTTTACTTTACACGGAAGAGGGGCTGCCTTCTTTGACTTTTTGTCGTGTAGGAAGGGATTATAAAGTCAGGACTCAGGAAGGAAGGTTCTAACTTCTAAGTTCTAATGGGGAATTGGGGATTCTCAGAAACCACTCCATATCTAGACATTGATTAGGTGTGGCTCTTTGATAAAATGGAAGTATTAACGGATGGAATTCGAGTTCTTGTGACTTTATCTGTTAGTTTATTTGGTTAAGTTCACTTTGGGATCAAGTTAGCAGAAAACCAGATGGAAGATGGCATTCCAACTTTTGGTACCTAAAAAAACAGTATGCGACGGGAGAAGGAGAACTACAACTCCAGGATGAAATACAAGAGAGAAATGTCCTGCGAGTCAAAACACATCTACTGTTTGATAATTCAATCTTAGAGCTCTCTGAAGCTTGAATCTGTATGCTAATGCTTCTAAAACAGCTAGGTATCTAGTAGAACAAGTGTTGCTGAAAATTGGGTCCTTTTTCTTCTCATATCCCTCAAAAAGGGAAAGGGAGAACAAGGATAGTTTACATTAGATGGAGATTTCATTCAGTAACGTGGAGAGATTTTTTCTTCATCCTTTTCCCCCAGTTTCTGGTCTCTTTTCAAGCATGGAGATATCGGCTCTTACACGAGTTCTACAGTCCAATCCTTGTCCACCGGGAGACTTGGCTTCCGAATGGTTACAACCAAGGAAGAAGATCCGAGCCCGGTTTCAAACACGAGTGGCCCGAGTCCCACTTCAACCTTTTCATTCCCGGGTTTGATCAGGGCGTTCTTCGGTCCAGGAGAGTATCCCAGGAGTATGATTCTTTCGATGACGGTTTGTGAGGTGAATTTAGACTTCTTGTTGTTAGGGGTCAGGTCTAGGGATGTGAGCTTTCCATTCGAGAACACGAATCGTCGATGGATGTAGGCTCCTTGCAGGAACTCGAAGCTCTTACCGTCGTCGATGTAGAGCTCCCCTTCAGCTGCTCGAGAACTGTTCAGAGCTATCACCTAAACAACAGTACCAACTCAGGGTCAGACATAAATACCGGATAGATGGATTACAGAAGAACTGATCGCTTGCGAGAAGATAAGTGCATACCAGAGTGTAAGGATCATTGACCATCTGTGTGGAGCTCCGACGATAACGATCTTTCCTGGGTATGATAGTCCCAGCCCTTTGGAATGCAGGAATTCGATCTTCCAAGGCCACTAGCTTGTGAGTTTGAGACCCTTTGTACTGACTTCCGCTCAAGAGGTCGTACCATAGTTCTTTCCCAGGTAGGTAAACTGAAACGTGTTTCGCTCGCTGCACAGAATGACAGGTCAGTAAAAGAAATGAAACAGATTAAGTATGAGTGTCAAGAAAAAAGGTCTGTCATAACAGCAGCACCTCTGTATAAATCCCTTGGACCAAGAGGCTGCTTCCAACCATGAAAGCTTCGTCATTGTTAAAGGTAGCCTCATCGGAAGGGAACTCCATCCAGAGAGGACGCATAATGGGGAGACCAGTAGTGTTTGACTCACGGAACACCGTGTAAAAATATGGAAGCAGCATGTAACGGACATGTATGGCTTGTCTTATGAGCTTCGTATTTCGCTCTCTGCAATCAGTTGAAAGACATCAGAAAGCGTACCATAAATACTATGATGAAAGGAATTGAAGGAAATGATTAAGGTTCAGATACAGGGTCAAAGATATCGTACCCAAATAACCAAGGCTCGCGCCTTTTCGTGTCCTGATGAGCATGGGCCCTAAAGAAAGGGTAGAAAGCACCAAGTTGATACCACCGTACTAGTAACTCTGGCTCCGGATTTCCAAAGAACCCTCCAACGTCGGCACCTAAATGGTAGAACAAGAAGATATCCTTAATAAGAAATGAACAATGAAATGACAAGGACAAACAAATCACCACAGAAAAGCAGTAAAACTTACCCGAGAATGATATTCCTGACAAACCAAGGGTCAAAATCATCGGAACAGATGCTCTCAAGTGATCCCAATCTGCCGTGTTATCCCCTGTCCAGACAGATCCAAACCTCTGAGTTCCAGCAAAGAATGCTCTAGACAGAACAAACGGCCTGTCTTTTCCATCTCCACGCTTGACAAGGCCATTTGAGGTTGCCATATGGTAGAAGTAGCCATAGGCATTATGTAATTCCCGATGCTCCACTCCCCCAAAATGTAAAGCGTCCCTTGGCATTGAAATCTGACAGTAATGAACAATTAACTCTGAAGTGTTTCCCTTTTTCAATAGTTACCAATTTTAACTAAGCCTCATAAAGGGAACAAAGTTTGTTGTTATGATGTCTGCGCATATTACTAACAGAATAAGTTATACTGCAAAGAAACTGTAGTCACCGTTTTCACCAATTCACAAGTGATAATGAAAAGAACGATGTGGAGGTACACAGTACCCTTCAATAGACAATGGGCAAAATGATTGGAAAACTAAGCCAAAATAAGCAAGTCATACGTATTCTATAAGTCATAAGATATATAATTAGTTCATAAAGTTGAAGTTTTGTCTTATTGATGGCAGGTAAGGAATTTGCAAGACCGAAAGTTGAATCCTTTTGGATAAATGATGTGAATTATCAGTAAGATGACGCCTGCCTGCGAAGTTTATGCTAGGAAAAATAGTTCAAGACACAAAATTTCAAGAAAGAAACAAAGATGACACAATTCAACTCAACATCACCTATTCTATGTAGCTTGATTTGTAATGCTTTCTGTGACGCAACAGGTACACCATTTGGCACTTTCGTTACTATCAATTAATGTTTTACCTTATCCACAAACACCCCGACAAAGTTACAGAATGCTTTCTCATGCTAAACAGAAGACCTCGAAACTTAAACTTCGCTTATTTGTAAATGAGCAAATAAAACAACTCAATGGTAAGCATTTTATTGGGGACAAAATAATATAATCATGCCTCAGATTTCATTCTCTAATATTTGCATATGCTTCAGAATACAAAAAAAAAAATGTTCAAAATGAATAACAGAAAAAGGACAGATGACAAGTAGCTTACCTCTGGGCCATTGAACACGGAAGGCTCGTTCATATCATTCCAAATATACAGCGATGGAGTTGAACCCTTATAGCTATCAAACCCAAACTTGTCACTGAACCACGACCTCACTTCAGGACTCAACACATCTAAGTAAGAAGATGACCCAGGCCAACACCACCCATCAAAGTCCTTTCCACTCGAATCCTTCACATAATACCCTTTCTCTGAAGCCTCCTTGTGTATATAATAATTATCATCCCGCTTAATATGAGGATCAACAATGGTCACCATGTGCCTTCCTTTGGCTGCCAATTTCTTCTGCATCTCCTCAGGATGTGGGAACATAACCGAATCCCATGTCATGTACCTCTTACCATCCGTATGCTCGATATCCAGCCACAGAACGTCGTAAGGAATATCATGCTCATCAAACTTGGCATCCACATTCTCCACATCCTCCTCATCTCTGTAATTCCATCTGCATTGATGATAAGCTGTGGCAAAATGTTGTGGCATTGCTGGCTTCCCAGTCACAGCTGTGTATTGGCTCACAACGTCCTTAGGACCCGCGCCTGCGAAAAAGAAAGCATCCACTATCCCTGCCTCACTCATCCATAATGTATCGATTCTCTTCTGATCAGAAGGAAGGGATAGTCCTGAATCTGCATTCCATCCTTCCGCCAACACATCAATCTGCATCTCAGCCGAGTTCAACCAGAAGAACCCAGAGGTCTTCCCACTTTTACCAAGAGCAATCATTAATGGGATTGATCCATAGAGACCAAAAGGAGACTCATGGAGATACTCAAACACGTCCAAGTTGAACAATCTGTAAGGCTCGGAATCATCAGCTCCAGGGCCTTTAGTTGGCTTCAGAGCTAAGCTCGTAGCATGCTCAGGCAAACCAGAAACGAATTCAGCACCGTAAAATGATACATCAAAGCTGATTGACTGAGGACCATAAGGCCTGATATCCGTATGACCTTTAAACCTCTCTTCCCACTCTTCCCCTTCATTCTTAACCCTCAATTCCTCGAAATCGAACAACTGATGAGAATTCAACGAAACCAAACGCGACTTACTTGACTTGTCCCTCACATAGAGCTCAAACGGATCGTGTCGAAGAACAGCTTCGTATCCGTCTGACAAATAGACGACTGAGGAAGGAGCGGAATCGCCGTCGAGGGTCTCGGTCGACACCCTAGAGAGCCAGAGCATGGTCTCGTCAAACTCAGAGACAACCACCTCGGGAACTTGGAACCGGGTCTTGGGCGGGTCGAGGGTCGGGTCTTCATCAATTTTCAGGCGCAGGATTCCGCCCTGGTAAATCGCGACGGAGAGCAGCAGAGGTTTAGCGATCTGTTGATGATCTTCTTCGCCCTCAGCCTGATTGGGAATTGGCCTAGGGATTAGCTTGGCGGTGAGCAGGCCATCGGAAATGGAGACTTGATCGGCGATTAGGGTACAATAGCCGGGTTTCCTGGAGCGAGCGCGCTTGCAGAATGGGGTTTGGTTGCAGTTCCGGAACTCGTCTTTCTTCCACGAGAACGCTGTCTGGGAAGCGAGGGAGAGGAGGAAGAGAAGGAGAAACGGACGGCGGCAGCCGCCAATCCGGGACGCCATTAGAAGGGCCGATCCGGAGTGGGAAACAAGAAAAAGATGCGAACTTTTAAATCAATTCCGCGGGAAAAAGCGAGGGAGATCAACTCTCAGATTGACGCCA